TGATGTTATAGCCTCCTGAAAAAAATGTAAGCTGTGTAGTATAATTTTCATTATTTCTGGATTTTTATGTTGGAATCACCCTATAAATCCATTTGTTACTTTTTAAAGACATTGATTTGTATGTTAACAGTATACAGAGGGTCCTGTAGGTAAACAGCCAAATTGTAGGAATTGGTTTTTGTGGGTCAGAATAAAAAATTAATGAAATTTCCCCTAAAATCCTTTGTTGACCAGATATCTGCCATTTAGTTTTCTACATAAACAACCGATTTTTATGTAAGTTTGTACCTATGTATAATAAAGTATAAAAGAGGCCTATGTTAGGGAAAGAACTAAATTCTTCCTAATTGATAAATAATTTAAAATTGTTGCCGTAATAATTTTTATAACTTTAATTATGAAATAAATAGAGTAATGTGAATTATGAACTTTTACGAATTATGAAATTTTATTTGGAAATGTTGGATACATTTTTATTTAGTATTTAAGATTTGCTTTCAGGTACCAGTTAAATAAGATGAACAACAAATATATGATCATTCTATTTAGGTACCTTAATTATTTCCCTCGACGTCAACGACCAGATCTTGCTGAATAGACAGTCAAAAATACAAAAAAAAATTATAAATGAAGGCAAAATAAAGCTAAGCTAGGGATGGACGAGACTGGATTTTAAGTTCGAGACGAGATTCCTTTTTCTCATCATAATTTGAGACAAGATTATGTATCTCATTACCATCGGGAATTATTCGTTTAACATACAGTAAAACCCATTATATCCAGTGTAGACGGGAAGGGTCATAACGCATAAATGAATAACCGATTTTTTAGATGTTCACAGTTGAAAAACGCATTCAGAAAGTCTCTGCAATACCCGCAATACAGAAGCGCGTTGATGTGGCGTTTCTTATATGAAGGCGTTCTATTTTCATTTTTTATCTCGTCTCGAAAAAATCTTAGAGAAATTCAATCTCGCTCGAACTAAAGAGATTATTTAATCACGGAAATTTCTCGAAAACTCTAGACCCCTCCATCCCTAAAGCTACCCAAAGCGTGCCTCATTTTATTTTTCTCAAAAAATTAATTTTTGATTCTTTGTTTTCTTTATAGCACTTTTGATAAAACTATTCCTCAAAGTTTGGTTGTTTACTTTTAGGACACCTGTATGTTTAAACCATAGACAAAAATATTTCATTCTTTTTGTCTATGGTTTAAATGCAGGATAAAATTGTATTTGAAAGTTAACCTTAAATAAAAGGGGGATTCCCAAGCACTGAGTGGAAAGCAGCATCCCCTGAGCCCCTCTCTTCTTGTTATAAGTACCTTATTTAAATAGGGTTTTTGGAAATCCAAGAATAAACACACTGAACAATAATAATAGTTGATGTAGGTAGTTTTAACATTCTCTAAAATATGAACAGTCAATATAAGAAACAATTGAGGAATCTTGTAATTCCAGACGCTAAAACAACTCTAGATAGTAAATATGAGAATTCCAGAATGACATTAAAACATATTTCAGTAATAAAAGTCATTGTAAAATGTTAGAACAAAACTGTATACCGGTATTTATTATGATAGAAAAATGTAAACATAGACATTCAACAGATGTTTTAGATAATTGTTCATAAATTATAAGCCAGGTATAATTGAAATATATTACAGTCTTCCCCTCTAAAAAGAGAACAACAGGTCGAAGTCTTGGTGTGGAAACTCATAACTGATACTTGTGTGGTGTAGGCAATTGGCTTTAGTAGTTTTTTTTTTTTTTTTTTTTTTTCTGGAGCAGGTGTATAGCTTAATAGCTTACTGGAGTCGTTGAATAGTAGAAGGTTTTGTCTGGAACTGGAGTAGAGTATTGAAAATTAACAGGAGCGGGAGTTAAAAACTGAACAGGAGGGAAATCAACTAGGGGTCGTAGAATTGACATGGTCGATTAGTAACCGTTGGATACTGCTGTTGGAGCTGGAATGGAATACTTGTAGCTCACTGTCGGGGCGGAAGGAGTTAAGTACACACTGGGTGGAGGTAAGTATTCATAGCTAACTGCAGGCACTGTTTTTGAATACTTGAGAGTCTTCAGTGGAGTTGGAGTAGAATTTTCAAAGTGGGGTGTAGTCATGTACTGGACTGGTTTCAGCGGTGTTTTGAGAAATTTCGGCACTACAGGTTTCACAGCTGGGTAAGAGTACTCGTAGAAGACAGCTGAGGCGGGTGGTGTGTAAGTTACTGGTCTCAATGGCATTTCGTAGGTTATTAGTTGAACTGGAACTGCAGAGTAGCCGTATTTCACAGGTTTGACAGAGGGTGGTGGAGGTGGCAAAGAGCAAGTTACAGCAGGCTTCAATGGTGGAGGAGCTAGGGTGGAAGTGGATAGTTGAGAATCTAAGGGAATTTTCAGTTGTTGCAACCAATCTCGACCTAGTAATGGATTAATAATGTTATCCACAACAAACAAGTTCAGGTTTGTAGATTTGTTGTTGTACCATACCTCAACTTTGGCGACACCCAGAGGTTTAAAGATTTCACCGGTAACTGTTTTAAGTGTAGTCGATGTTGGCTGAAGAGTTCTGTTGGGGCAAACTTTTTGAAGGTCTTTGTTATTGATTATAGTTACTGGACTCCCAGTGTCGATTTCAAAGGTAAGCTTACCATTTTCAATGTTCAGTGTTGTCGTGAATTTTTCCGTTGGTGAAGTAGTGGGCGCAATACGGACAGGAACAATTCTTCCAATAGAAAACTCATCATGTTCTATGTCTTCTTGAATTATGGTATTTACCTTGCGATGATTTGATCTTGTTAAGGTTGATATGCAAACTTTAGAGATATGTCCAGGCTTATGGCATAAACTACAAAATAAGGTGTTAATGTCCCTGTCGCACGATTTTGCCAAGTGGTTACTCTCACCACAACGCACACATAGTCCTGCAATTCCTAGGCGCTCATACAAGTTCTTTGGATTGTTTTGACTTTGTTTTGTTGATCTGCTATCACAATCATAGTTTTTTGTACGAAAAACTCTAGAAACTTTATTTATCAAATTAGTTTCATGAAATGATTTGCAACCCTTTTTTGATGCTTCAAGAGTCAGAGCCTGTTCATACGCACCTTCAAAAGTCAATTCTGGATGCTGAAGAATTTTTTCACTGATTGCTTCGTCTCGTAATCCTCGAATGAATTGTGCACGTAAAAACAAATCGACCACTGAAGATTAACAAGAAGGGCAGTTGAAATTGCATGTGAATGTAAGTCTTCTTAGTGCAGCTACAAACTCAGATATGGACTCTGTCGGACATTGAACACGTGATAGAAAATTATGTTGTTGCACAAAAACATTGGGTTTTGGACATAAATGTTTTTCAGCTATTTTAATCAATTTGTCGTAGCTTTTGTTTGATGGTAGGTCTGGAGATACAAGACTACCTAGTAGCTGATAGTGTTTTGGTCCAATACAATTAATCAATATTCTTGCTTTGATTTGTTGTACTTCATCTTCGTTTCCTGTAATGTTTTTCAAATGAAAGTAATTTTCAAGTCGTTGTCTATATGAATTGAAATCTTCAAGATTTTCATCAAATGAATCGAAATTAAATGATGTGATTCCGTTCTGGGGTGTTGAAGGTTTTGGATTCTGTGCATGGGTTTGTACTATGATTTCATTAAACTTGTTCAAAAGCATAGCCTGTTGTTGAACAAACGTTGATAAAATTGTTGAAAGGTCTTCAGTCATGATAGTATGTTAATTTCAATGTTTATCCTGTAGAAAAGTGTATGAGTCATTAAAAATCCCCTCCTCGTCGCCACTAAAACATATTTCAGTAATAAAAGTCATTGTAAAATGGTAGAACAAAACTGTATACCGGTATTTATTATGATAGAAAAATGTAAACATAGACATTCAACAGATGTTTTAGATAATTGTTCATAAATTATAAGCCAGGTATAATTGAAATATATTACAGACATTGACACTTCTCAGTACATTAAACATAGGTGAGGGACGAGTACGGTATTCAATAAAAAGTTAAAAGTTACTGCTAATTGGTGCCATTGCCAGAACCATTTATTAACAAATAATTCTCCAGTAATAATTTTTTGGGTAGACCTGACAAGGATCAAGAATGAGTTTGATCTGAGGAGAGGTTTGAAGAGCTTCCACGCAAAAGGGGGGAATTTAAAATGTTAGTGCAAAATAATTAGCCCAGTGGTCAAAAAGAGCTGGGTTTAAGCCTTCAAAATACTACTGACTTCTCTGGGGGACATTTTGTTATTTTCTTCCAGGGTAACACCATAGATAAAAGGAGTAGACAGAACTTTTATCTACGGTAACACTATCTACTCAGCTTCATTTGTACTTTCTCTCCTTATACCATAGTTACCGTATGGTATGGATAAAATATTGTTTTAGTCTACATTTTCGAGTTTGACTTTTAAGTGGATATATATTCGTTTTGGTCCCCCCTGAACACAAAAAAGTTTTCGAAGTGATGTCTGTGTGTGTATGTATGTCTGTGAGTGTCTGTATGTGTGGGTGTGTACAGATCTACAGACCACACCTGTGATCCAATTTTGATGAAATTTGGTATGTAGATACTAATCCACGGTATCTTCAGGTGTTTTCACCACTTTCATTGAATTTTTGATTTTTAATGGTGATTTTTCATTGAAACTTGATAAAATAACGGAAAAACAGAGTTTTCTCAAAAATTGCTCACACGGTTTTGATAAACATGTAGTATATTATGGCCCTTTAAATTCTGAACAAAATGGTACAACCCCCAAATCCGGTAAAAATTACAGTTTAAAAGTTATTGCAACTTTTGTGATTTTCCCTTTATCAAAGTTACTACCACCACCGTTTTAGGTTGTTGAGAAGCTATTGGGAGAATGTATGTCAAATTGCTGATACAGTTTATTTTTCTTTAGAATATAAGAACAATTTAAACGTAGGCTATAATGTTATGTTTATTGTGATATCAATCAATAATGTCGGGTTTCAGGTGGGCGACAAGAAGTGATGACAACGGGGCCCAGCTCAGAAGCGACATGTTGAGGGCAAGGCATGGGAAACTGCCTTTCCACATGTGCCAAAAGGTAACAGGTTCAAAACCTAACAAGGCATAATCCATACCGCACACTAAACATACAAGATGTTTTTATAAAATATAATATGTTGGTGAATAATAATGTGTAGTTAAAAATAGCCTAATGCGGGAATTTGTTTAGAGAAAAGGATCACAAGTTATTCAAAATCATAATTACATAGCATAAAAACGTACTAGTATATAAACTTTCTATCTATATTAGTTTTAAAAGGAAAATTAGTGTAAATCTTTTCTAAAATTTAAAATTTAAAGCATGCAATGATGAATCTTTTAGAGTGATACTTCCACTGATGATGGAAACTTATACAAAGGCTTTCTACTTTTGATACAATAACACATCAGCTGTAAAATAATTACAGCTGATTGTAATTTGAATCGATATACAATAATAAGGGGTTTCTTTGATACAACCCTTTTCCAGCCGTCCTACTTATATTAACCAATTTTCACAACTAAGCTAACATAATCTTGAAAAGGTAATATTGCATATTGTACTTATTTTGTCTTGGCAACATGTTTTGGACCATATTAAACCTCGTAACCAATAATGCAAGCCAGATATTCCAAAATGAAAAAAAAACCATAACCATCTAAATATCTAATATATAAAATTCTCGTGTCACAGTGTTTGTCTGCAAACTCCTCCGGAACGACTTCACCGATCGTTATGAAATTTGGTGTGTAAATTCTGTAGGTATGCGAATCGGACGTAAACTATTTCCCGTTTCGAAATTCTTAAAAGGGCTCCGCCCCAGTGGCTCTGGAGTTTCCCATGTTAACCTTATGAGAAATGGAATTAATGAATCTTAACAGCTGTTTCAATTCAACAAGTTGGTTCTGTTCTATGATGTTCAATAGCATTAAAGTTACAAGGATTACCAACAGGGTGCAGCACTATTTTTTTTTAATTTATGACAACAGCTAATTTCCAACCAAAAGGTGAGTGAGCGTAGCGAACGAACTTCAACCTGGAGGCGAGTTAGCGTAGCGAACGAGCTAACCTGAAGGCAAGTGAGCGCAGCGAACGAGCTCCAACTTAAAGGTGAGTGAGCGTAGCGAACGAGCTCCAACCCAAAGGTGAGTGAGCGTAGCGAACGAACTTCAACCTGGAGGCGAGTTAGCGTAGCGAACGAGCTAACCTGAAGGCAAGTGAGCGCAGCGAACGAGCTCCAACCTAAAGGTGAGTGAGCGTAGCGAACGAGCTCCAACCCAAAGGTGAGTGAGCGTAGCGAACGAACTTCAACCAGGACGTGATTGAGCGATGCGAACGAGATCATCTTGAAAATTAAACGTAACGGTACTTTTTTTCCATCGGTCTGTCTTAGGGGAAACCTATAACTTAGGCGATACGAAGTTCGCCGGGTCAGCTAGTATCTTTATAAAAGAGGAAGTTTGTATATATTTGAACGTTATGGACTCCGAAACCACTCGACGGATTGTAATGAAACTTTCAGGCATTATTAATTATTATTCAAGAATGGTTTGTGTGAAGTTTGGTGCAGATCCGTCAAAAGGGCTCCGCCCCAGTGGCTCTGAAGTTTCCCATGTTAACCTTATGAGTACTCACATTTAAATGGAATTAAAGAATCTCAACAGCTGTTTCAACTAACAATTTGATTCTGTTAAATAGCAATAAAAAGTTAATAGGTTTACCAACAGGGTGCAGCACTATATATATTTTTTAATTTATGAGAACAGCTAATTTGTACCAAGCAAAAACAAAAAGCTGTGATACATGGAATGGATGGATTATTTACAGTTATGTTTATGTAGCCAGTTATTACTAATAATAAATTAATGAGAGTCTATCTACATACAGCAGATCTAGGGAACATAATAATTGTCTCTTCCTCAACTTGACCCGGCTAGTAGACAATAAAGGCACAATAGCAATTAGTAATTAGGTTAACTAGAAGCAAGAAGTAGGGCTATCATACTTGGCTAAGTGGGTTTTGCTTATGTTTGGTACATTTAGTAAACATCTAACTCGATCTCATCATAACTAACTATGCTTCTTATTACACTGTAAGTTCCAAAGTACAGTAAATCATTTAAAGTAAACTTCTAAAATCACCCTAACCATTTCAACTAAAGGTTATTAAATTTAGTACCTGGTACATGAAACTATTTTTTAACCCTTTACAAAAAAAGTTGTTACCATATCGCAAAATTGTAACTTACAATATATCAAAATGTAAAGACATTTCAAAAAACATGTTTCTTTGATAAGTGAATGTTATTTTTTGAAACCTCAATAACAAGTCACCCTTGATAACTAGTGTAATTTTCAAACACCTTCCCTTGATTTTATACTACCCCTAATATCATTATATAGCTTGTAAAGCTCATTACAGTAATTTAAATCTTTCAATCCATATGAAATCCATAAGATAGGGATTTTTGTATCATACCACTTATTATTGAATGTTGTGACATTAGTTGTTGTGTTCCAGTTCAGAAACATCGCAGGGAGCTACTGCACAGACTGGGGAAGTGATCGAGCTGAATACAACAGAGGTTCAGGTAAGTCTACAAGTTGGCAGAGTAAAGAAAAATTGTATATCACTTGTCGAGGAAAATCTTTAATACAGAATGTCTCCTAGTGTAAGACCTAAGACTAAGAGGTTATGTTGATTTCTTAAATTGATGGATCTAGCTAACTTGGACTTTGTCCTACTATAAAAGTCATTTCAAGTTAGCAATTTCATTTAAGAGGGTTGCTATGGTCACTTAAGCATCTAAGATTAATGGGTAGCATGATTCAGTGAGAATAATAAACAGCCGTATTCTTTTATGGGTCTTAATAATTCCAACACAAAGTAGATTCAAATAAAGATTTATTGGTATAAACATTTCATTCATCACCATGAATGTGACCTCATTCTGGAAAAAGCGGAAGAGAGTAGAAATAATACTTCTACTTAGCATAGAATAGCAGTTACATAAAATAGTAATATCATATAGGTACACATGTACATAACAAACAGTTTGAACTTTGTTTGGACTGCTATCTGGTCGGTTTATGTATTTAAGACTATTTATTTAAAATACTTAAAACTATTTAATTAAATAACTTACGTCATCAATCCATAAATTGCTGTGGAGTACGCGTTTCAACCATCAGGTCATCCTCAGCTCCACTGTCACTAGGTTGAATTTGCTTCTATGTTGCATTATAGCAACATAGAAGCAAATTCAACCTAGTGACAGTGGAGCTGAGGATGACCTGATGGTTGAAACGCGTACTCCACAGCAATTTATGGATTGATGACGTAAGTTATTTAATTATTTGATAACTCAATCCGTTGTGCTACAATCTCAACATTATTAAAACTATTTGACTACAAGATTTAACAATGATTTTGTTTTTATTAGTTGTGCAACAACTTTTAGACATCCTACTATAATTTGTTTTCTTGGGCTATCTGCAGAGAAAAAAAAACACCCTGAAATATCAAACTGCCATTGATTATTGTGATTTTTAAAACCCAAACTCTAGGACATTACTCCCATGCCTAGTCTTCCCCACTGCCAGATTGAAAATGTAAAATTTCCAAATCAAAATAAGTCCTTTGAAAAAATCACATTCTTTATTTTCGATTCAATATTGGGTAGGCACATCAGAAAAAGTTAGAAATTTTTAGTAGTATTTGATGTACCCTGCTTACACATTTTTTGTGAATTCGGTATGCTTAGAGATTATTTGTGTATGCACACCTCTAGATTCCTCCTTAAATAAACCTGTAGCTGTTTCATTTAACATATTATACAACTTATTTGAGTTATTTCGTGTTAAACTGAATATATAGCTCATCGGTCAAAAAATGACATTATAAAACATACCTATTAGTGACTTAAGCTATGAAAAGCAAAAGGCTAAATGGTGTCTTAATCTGTTTTTGAAATGAAAACAAAAGTGAAGTCGGAGAACAAAAGGTGTGCAATAACAAGAGCTTACCCCCCCCCCCCTCCTCGGTCTGCTACCCCTCTTACCCCTTTCACCCCTTCCCACAGTGTGAACCAGACATGTATTATTGGGACAATCCTCCTGGGTTTATATACAATCCTTGTCTCATTTTTGTCTCATGTTTTTGCCACAGTCTCAGGAGAATGGTACATTCTTAGATTCGAGAAATGTGAGAGTAAACTTTATTTTCCTACAAATAATTGAGTTAACATGGTGGTACTATACAAGATACAAGTAGTTCTCTCAGAAATATTTATTTAAAGGCTATTTTTTTTTTTTAGAAACTCTTTATTGTTTCAATATGATATATACAATAGGTAATTGTGTAACTAGTGTACGAAGTGGCACTTTGCACTCGCGTTACACACATTATAATTTGCCTACAGTTACTATAATGCATATAAATAATTACTCTTTCAAACACTATACCTACAACACGTTTTTAGATTAGGTTAAATCCAGCGTTGGACGACACTAGATGATCGTGGTCGTAGTATCTTTAAGTGTTCAACTTATTTTCAATCGTGCACGTTAGTGCCTAATAAAAGCATACTGTTTTGTGTTGTTTGGTTGGAATACTGGAGTGAAAAAATGAGTGCAGCATTTAGTTACTTTGCGTGCTATAATCAGTGCAAAGAAGCCCACCTGGTCAGGTAACTGTAGGAAAATGTAATTTAACAACTGAGTATACACCAAAGCGGAAATTGAATTTTATGCTTTTTGGTAAACAACAGTATATGCCTCTCTGGCACCTACAATAAAATAAAACATTACATTTATACATTATTTAACTCATAACCTACTTATTATTTTAGACAAGCAGCAGCTATTATTGACCATAAACCATTCAATCGCTATTGCTCACACAACTGTGTGTTAGACAGACAGTAAAGTGGTGCTCATAAGGCTTGATTCAAGCATCAATCAATGTAGGGCTGGCATTACAGGGACATGAATCATCCCCTTGTCTCTCTAAATTTCAGCTAACTTTTTATAGGTTAAAATGTTTTGATTATTTTCATACTTACATTCTTAAAAAGATTCACCTACTGGCTGCAATAGTTATTATTGTGGTTAACTATAATAGTTATTGTGAATAAAGGTTTCTCAGCATGTGCTTTAAACGTTTAAAAACTAATTTAATAACAGAAGAGTTTCATGTTACTTATTTGTGTAAGTTACTTTAATTTAAAATTGATGTTTTATTTCCTCGGTCAAGGCAAAACGTTGCCTTGCCTTGATGCATTTTAAATTATGCAAAAACTATATTATACATTTGAGTATATCTCTGTGTTTGTAGCTGTATTGTTCTTTCATAAAGATATTAGGTTCTTAATTATGTGTCTCTCTTTTCTATAGTTGGAAATAACAAATTCTGAATAGAAATAAATAGCATTGAATATCCAAGCAGGGTATTGTAATGGATTAAAGGAGTAACAGTCTCCTCCCAGTGTCTACTCATTTAATCTATAGTAGTGTACAATTCAAACAGATACTGTATAACTGGTTAAATATAAACAGAAACAGCATTCCCTCTAAAATTAAGATAGAAAAAAACTTGCTTGTGGGATGACCTTGTGCTTCCAGCTAAAGTGTTGTGAAAATATACTTGTAATGAGTAAGGAAGAGCCCAAGCAGAGAGCACTGTACGTAAATTTCTATCGCACAAGGCACGGGGTCTTCCTCCTCCGTGGGCGTTGTAATACAGAGGGACTTTGTCCTAGACACCAGTGACTAGTGCTTGTCACCACTTAAGTGTACCATTGTTTCCGCTGTACCTTACTTCTCTGTGCTATAAAGTTTTAACCTACAACCATCACATGTTTCTGAGGCATCTTGTTGTACAGGTGGTGGGGGAAGACAAGGTGCGGGAGTTGGTTCAGCAGGAGTTGCGAGCTCTTCAACATCAGATATCTCACAGCCAGGCAGTGCTAGCTAAACTTGTGAGTAAATAGTAAATATAACTACTCCCACCACAGCAAACCTGTAGACTAAGCAAAGTTTCATTTCCCTGATTTCATTTTCATTATATTTTCCTAAAATTTAAAATTTATTCCCTACCTATTTAAATATAGGTTTCATGAGTACTTAAGTTTGCTGCGGCAGGGAAACTAATAAAGATTAATAAAATTAAACGTCAATAGCTTAGTATGAATTTGCCAAATTAGATCAAAACTAGGAGACCATAGCATCAATTACTGCCCTTCACCTCTGTTGTAATTTAGCCTTCCATTCCCTATGCTGTGCACCATTTCTAACTCTCCTTCGTAGTGCTGTCTTCCCCTATTACACAACAGATTTCAACACTGCACTAGCATTTTTCTAACCTAAAAACATAACACTAAAATCAATAAACAAACAAATTTTTACATCAGTTGGTATATTTAAAACAGCTTATAGAAACACTGTAGCAGTACTTCCATTAGGAAATATCTGCATCTTTGACGGCCTGTGGGGCAGAGCAGGTGTAATTTTTGACACTACTGATATTTTCCCCACCGTCCTTGGACCTTAAACTTTAAAATGAATCCTCAACAGCCATGCTACCTTTTTCCTAGCTCGAGATATTTCATGGGGACCGATTCGCTTACGGAATTAAATATACAGAAGATATCCATATCTAACTACAACATTTTACTTATTCACTGTAAAAATTACATGGGGATTATAATTTTCGGTTCAGTGGGCATACAATTTCATTTACTTCTTTTTGTAATCTTAACTAATCGAAAGCTTAATTAATCAGTTTACTAAATTAATTTTTAAGCTCTAAAAAAATGTTTGGTAAGCAATTGCAAAAATTTATGTTTTGAAGCTCAATAATCAATGGGGAAACTAATTTTTACCACATAAAAACCCATTTCACATTGTCCAATCATGCTGGGTCACAACCTGTGAAAACCTAGGTTTACAAGTTTGGACAAAATTTCATCCATATTGGATGATTTTTACTCGAGTTATCGTACTAACAGACACATGTAAAACCCACATGAATTTGAACGGATGATGTTTTTGCTTGGAGATATAAAAATGAAAAAGTAAATCCATCCCTGATCTACGTCTTACTATGAGACCTACATTAATAGCTTATTCCCTGTATGGGAATTTCCCGAATTTCATTAAAAAACTGTGGTAAGTTCTATTAGTTACCCACCAATTCGAAACATTTAAATATGCAAGAAATAACAAATGCTACAAAAAAAAAATCAAGTAGACACAAAATAAGAAATTTTATAAACCTATTGACATCAGACACACAGTTCATCATTTGAATACCAGCAGTTTAATCGGCATGAGATGGAAGGAACAGATTTCTAGCAGTAGTTTAGATTTTAGCAATAGATATCAGCAAACTGACAATTATTGCATTGTAGAACAGAGTACAGGGAAGATATAATAAACACAGAGCAAGATGATTAGATTATCCACTAAACAGTTCAACTCCCAAATTGAGCAAAGTGATCTACAATCTGCTTAATTAAACTTATGTTTAGGGACAACTTTGGTGATAAGAATGGTAAATTATTGACTATATTTTGTGTTCCTGTTTTCAGCATTTCAGATTCTCTGATGAGATAATAAGTGATACTACCTCAGACCTCGCAAAGGTTCACCGGACCACTCAAACTTCCAACCCTGATAACCTACCAAAGTAAGTATGACTTGGCTTCACCAATCTGACCTAAGACAACATATTATTACTGTACTTAATATTTTTGTATAACTTAACTGAAGATAGATTATGATGTCTATTGTAATACTTGTATTCCTACTTAATACCAAAAGATCTTGAATATTAATTGTTATCATAGTTTATCAGTATCATCTTCTATAGACAATAAACAATATTCTTTATATTCTTATTTATTGAGAACAGTACAGCTTCATAGGATATTTACAGGTGGTTTGTCGAGGACTAAAACCGATTATTTTGAAGTCAGGTTTGGATGAATTCTTTTTCAGCGTAGAAGGGTCTTTCCAGGAGCCAGTTTATGATATTTTTCTTGAAAGTGGGTGAATTATTTCGTTGTTTTAAGTTCTTCTGGAAGGAGGTTGAAGTATTTAGCTCCTTTAAAGGGTTAGTGTCTTCCAGTGATAATGATATTATTGATATTCACACAGCTAAAGTGATCACATTTTCTCATTTTAATTTCAAGTCAAAAAAAAATGCATGGAGAATCATTCATCTACTCACAGTAGCTTGAGTTTTGTTACATAATTATAAATACTAGGGGTCGTCCAGTGGTTGAAAACTCGACCAAAAATATGTAATGTACAGACTGTTCTATTTTGACACCACGCTGTAAATAAAACATGTGATTGGAATTTCTTCCGTTTGTTTTGATTTTCTGTTTATATTTCGTTGTAATTTCATCGCCAGCATGGCAACCCATAAGCCCATGATATTTTTTTAACTTTACTTTTTATTTTACTTTTATTTTACTTTATTTTTTTTACTATTTTTAAACTTTTTTAAATTCTTTTTTAGCTTATTTTTGAGCCTATTTTAATTTACAAAGGGGTTCTGCACATCTACAGGAAAATATCTTTCTATCAGTAAGTGTAGATTTCCCCTGAGAAAAAAGGTTTTCAAGAAACATGCTTGCCTATTAATATATAGGGTTGCCCCCAATTCACCCTAATTTCACCCTAAATAAGCTAAAAAGTTTTTTACTCTTACTATAAATTTTATTGTATATTAACAAACTTTTGTAACCAAACCTTTAGTTAAATCTCTCAAAACAATAAGATACTAACAATTTCAGACAATATTTCCCTGTCAAACAAGGTCATTAATGAATATTTAATAACCCTTTAGAAGGGATGGCTGCCGAGTTGCTCGGAGGGAGAATGTAAGGAGCTGTAAATGGTGGCTCGCCTGTAGCACTCTTACGCTGCTTGCTCGTTAGTACAGACCCTCACGAGCAGTGCTGACTAAACAGCGAGCATCTCAGTAGCCATATTGCTTAAAATCCTCTAAACCATATATACGATGAATACCACACTGTTCATAGTATTCTATGTTTTGCTTGGTATTACCATACTTTGGAAAAATAACTTTTAAACTTTAAAGATCAGTTTAAAATAAAAGTTTAAATATTTGTATGCTTTTGGACATTTAAAAATCATATAGTGCTTGATGTCTTTTTAATATTAACAAAGTGTCTTTATAAATGTAGATGGTATCTTAGATCAGGATCAGACACATAATGATCAAGTCCATGTTAAATTTGCCTGAACTAATTACAAATTTTAAATACCCCCGCCGCAGTAAACCTGCATACTAACCAAATTTCCCTTTGCATAGTTTTCACTCAAATGTTTCCTTGGTCAGATCTATTCCCTATTTAACTAGCAATAGATTTAATGAGTACTTAGGGTTTTTTGCTAAAGGGGAGGTTACAGAGTATTTTTTTTACAATGTTAAGCTCAGTATGCAATAAATGAATTTGCCCAATTACATCAAAATATAAGCAAACTACAACAGTTTAATTATCGTCCAAATAACATGGGGATTTTAAATATTTTTTTTTTTAATTTTCTTTGCAATCATAGACAAACAACAAAGTTTCAATATATTAAGCTATTTTTTGTTTTTTTACCTAACCCGCCATGTTAAACTTCCCTATCCCAAGCGAGATGTATACAACTTCCTTACTTCTCGAGTGATGTAAAGTATCAAAAACTCACTCGGTGATGTAATGAAACCCATTTAAATAACATTGAGTGATTAACTTAAAAAATATACCTCTATGGAGCCAACGACGTTCAACGCTAGAAATCAGATGTGCTCTTGAATTTTATTGTTATGTTTTGAAGAATTTTCCTAACCTAGCTTTTGTTTGTAAATGAATGTTACTGTTAGAAGATGAGTGAAATGGATAATATTGTTCGTCCTCCTGTATATTGTCGGGTCAGGTAAAATCTTGTACGTTACACGTTACGCAAGAGCGTGTTTACATCACTTAGGTAAATTATGCAACTCGCTTCCGCTCGTTGCACAACCTTCACCTGCGTGATGTAAAAACGCTCTTACTACACTTGTAAGGTAAATAGCTATAAGCTGTACAAAATGGTTTGGATATAAATTGCAAAATCTTATATTTTTGGGGTCAAAATAGTGGAAATTTCTCCCACAAAACCCCATATGAATAGTATAATCATGCTGGTTTGCAAACTTGACAAATGTAATTTTACACATTTTTACCAAATTGTATCATGAATTTTACTTGAGTTACTGTGGTTACAGACACTTCACTTGCAAGTAAAAGGGGCATACGCAGGCTTATCATATAAATAGTCTACATACACAATATTTGAGGTGTTGATCAATCTGTATTTTCCTCTCAAGCTGGAATTGTCCTCTAGACCTCAGTTGAGTCTGGAATTTTTCAAAACTTTATAAGGATTGCTAAAAATTAAGAATATAGAATTCAAATCTCAGCCTGCAAGGAACAATGAGATAAATCAGGATTTTTATGTAATCAAAATTAAAACTATGTAATTGCCACTTTAGTGAAAAATTTAAACACATTACACAAAACTTTACCTGTCCTTAATTTAATAACAAATATTTTCAAGGATGCCACTAATTTACTGTTTTCCTTCTACTCTCTTAAAAACAATTGATTGAACTTTTCTAACTACATTACAACAGACTTAAACAAAAGTTTACTAATTAACATAAAGCCTCTGTAAGATTTGAGTCTCAGTTGGTTGTTTTTCAATGACAAAATGGAAAAGTTTATCACCATCCCTCATCCTTTTTTGTCTTTGGGGGAAAAAATGCAATGACAATCTTTTGTTGTAGATAATGAAATTTAATTTATCTACAAAATGCTCTTCAATAGCGAAATTGGTATGCTACAAACATTTATTCAACTACATTTTTAAATTAAGGTTTGAACTCTAAAATTGTATTTTTATTGCATTATTCCTAAAGCACTAAAGACCATAAAAAATAATTTCTATTTTCAACATACGCAGTCGTTTGTTGTGTGTAGTTTATCCTCTTCATCCTCTTAACATTTTGCGAGCACCTGCTACCTTAGGGTTTTCTGCTCTAAAGTTGTTTTGCATAGTAACAAAAAAGACACTGTTTGGGATAGAAATAGTAAATTTAATGAAATTGAAGTCCCAATTAGTTCGGATTAAAGAGGTTTTACTGTAAATTGTACTTACTTTTAAAATACCAAACTAACACTTTAAACACAATTGCCTTCAAAACTACAAATCTGTGGACTACATTCTTATAAATTACCATTTCTTTTTACCATGTAAATCCTGATATTTTCTAAATAAACGAATAAAAACCAACTCTTAGAACTTTAAACTCTCCGCATCTCATTAAGCTCACAGGACACTAGACCAGCTCTCAGCCAAGTGTATTCAACTGAGAAACGCCATTAAGTGTTATCCTCAACCGAGCGAACTTGCTTTGCCACAGGTGAAAGAGCTCATCACTTTGCTCAGAGTATAATCATAATTCCGCCCATCTCTTCTGATTTGGTGCTTTAGAGGTGGAAAACATATTGCTCTCTTTCTTTAACAGATTCTTACTTTTTGTGGGAAAATAAATTTTGAGATAAATTTGCTGTAAAAGTTGTTATTTAATTGCTAGAGGGTTGACTTGAAATTTATTACATTAATACATTCGTATTGGAGGGGGAATGTCTCCTTTATGTTCATTTAAAAACATCTAAGCTTTCTTGCCATTGGAGTAACAGATTAAAAGCAGGTAGCTTCTTCTGCAATGCTTCCTCGTAATGGTCAACATATATATATGTATGGACAATAGACAATAGACAATAGACAGTTTCCTTTATTTGTAATTTTGTTAAGAAATACAATGGCTTCACAAAAATTCCAGAATGTTTAACATTTACATTGTTTGACAGTTTACATTTTCTTTGTATTGAAAGTTCATAATCAATTGGTAAAAAATTCCTTATAGTCCAGGCAAATTAGATCAAATATAGGGAGTGCTCCCCAAAAAATCGTCTAAAGCTGGAAAGTGTTTTAATACCTTTTGGGGGTCCCAAATAAGAGTCCTGTGAGTTTGCGACGGATTCTGACGTCTGCTTAAGTTTTGGGAGTCGAAAAACTATGAAAATCTTGCACTTTTTTCAGTTTTTCGCTTATAACTCATAAATAACGAATCCTACGGAAAATGTTGTTCAAAGGTCTCTTTTAGTACATTAAATCCTGCGTCGATTGGTGTTAAATACGTCAAAATCGACCGAGCCGTTTAGCCGCTGTAGCTTTTTAAAGTTAGGTCATTTTCATCAAAATGGCCAAAAAGTTGATTATTTGACCAGTTTTCGGCTTACAACTCCTAATCGACGCTTGCTATACAAAAATGCACCTGCAGTTAGTTTGGAAAAGACAACATTCTGCGTAATATGTTTTTTTTACTAATCAATAATGGCAATAGATTGCTACCTACTTTGTATGGTCGCCATTTCATTGAAAAAAAATTTAATATTAAATATTAATTTTAGTAAAATTTTCCAACTTTAACTTTAATATTTTTTTCAATGAAATGGCGACCATAAAAAGTAGGTAGCAATCAATTCCAATTATTGATTGGTAAAAAAACATATTACGCAGAATGTTGTCTTTTCCAAACTAACTGCAGGTGCATTTTTGTATAGCAAGCGTCGATTAGGAGTTGTAAGCCGAAAACTGGTCAAATAATCAACTCTTTGGCCTTGTTGATGAAATTGATCCAACTTAAAAAAGCTACAGCGGCTAAACGGCTCGGCCGATTTTGACGTATTTAACACCAATCGACGCAGAATTTAATGTACTAAAAGAGACCTTTGAACAACATTTTCCGTAGGATTCGATATTTATGAGTTATAAGCGAAAAACTGAAAAAAGTGCAAAATTTTCATAGTTTTTCGACTCCCAAAACTTAAGCAGACGTCAGAATCCGTCGCAAACTCACAGGACTCTTATTTGGGACCCCCAAAAGGTATTAAAACACTTTCCAGCTTTAGACGATTTTTTGGGGAGCATATGTCTAATTTGCCTGGGCTATTAAGCAAATTCCAAAACACCTGTCGGTCCACAAGCCAGTCCCAGAGTTGCTGTTTGAGTTGGTTTCCTGTTGTGTTCTTTAGGTTGTTTGGAAGAGAGTTGATGATTTTACGGCCAATATAAGTGGGTTTTCTGCTGTATTATTGTGTTGTGTGGTGGATCGGTAGACTGTAGTCGGCTGCTCTTCTGGTGTGGTAGGAGTAAAAATTCTCATTTCTGGGAAGGTTAAGTTTTTTTGTGTACAGGACAACTCCATGGATGTAGAGTGCTGTCACTGTTAGGAGCTTGAGGTATTTTAATGCTGATCCCTGTACCTGTCTAAGCGCTCAAGGCCAGAGAGAGCCCTGACGGTTTTTTTCTGGAGTACCATGACTTTGTTGAGGTTTGCCTCTGATGTTCCTCCGCAAGATATGAAGCCATACCTTATATGCGATTCTATTACAGAATAGTATGCTGTCTTAGCCGTTTCCAGACCTCATATTCTTTTCATCCTCTTTGTTACATAGACCCAAGATGCAAGTTTCTTGGTCAGGTTGTGTATGTGGTCTTTTCAGGAGTTCGTTATATGGTGTATATGGTATATTATATTGTATATATCTCCATGTGCAGATCCTTGGAATGTGTGGCAGTGGGTCTAGACAAGGGTTGGGAACAGATTACCTCCTCCTGCCCCGCCATTGTCAACATCGCTGTACAAACTGATGATGGTGAGTCAAAATGTTTTAAACATCACCTTTTTCTTAAAAATTTTCTTAGCGTGCAATTCTGGACAGTAAAAAATTTCTATAATTTTTCAAATTAATTCTGGATGAAAACTTATTTTGTATTAAAAGAGCTTTAGATGTGTACTTATCGATTTTAAATAGTAAAATTGCAAGAACGTAATTTAGCATTTTTTTAACCAGAATATTGAACAGTGTTTTTTTTTTATATTCTTCTATGATTTATAACGCCATTTAGTGTGGTGAATACAAAAGTGTTTTTGCTACATATAAACAAATTTTGTTTCACGACATAAATTAAAAAGCCAAATGATTAAATGAAATTTTTTATAACATTGAGGCCAGTGGTGTGTAGTAAGGCGGGAACGTGTGAGAACAGTGTTTCCACTCTGATTTTTCCAAAGAACCTATATATTGGTAAGGGAGACATATTTTTCCACAACCACAGTGAGCGTTCCGGGTTCCCACACTCACAAATTTACCACTACAGCACTGATTGAGGCCTACTTTTTTTTTCAAACCCAAATTGAACAGCTTATGCAAGGTATGCCACAATAATACTAAGGGATTAAAATTAAAATCATATAACTCTGAAGTTTTTGTACTGAAATTACAATTTGTTTCAGAAACTACAAGTAAATCAAATGGAACGTCTGGAGACTACTTTCTTCCTCCAATCAGTCCCTTGGGATCTCAGGTAATCTTTGTGTTGATTAATGTTTCTTAGTTATGTTCTAGACAATAACTACGGTTTGTGTTTAGTGGGAAATGCAAAAGACTAACCTAATTCACAATTTTAAGGTTACATTTATTCAAGGAAAGAGCCAGGATTTTGAATTGTAATATAAAGTTAATAGTAGTTAGCTTGCCTTAGAAAAGGTACAGGTATGCAATAGAACACATCCTGGTGGACTTTTTCAAGTATATAGAGAATGTGAGAGAGAAAGAGAGTAGAGAAAGAGTCTCTCTCTTTTTCTAAACTTGACAATGTCCCCCAGGAGACAAAATATTGAGTTTTTCATGTGTCTTCCATATGTTCTATGGCCTTCTAAGATAAGCTTGATGTTATTCCCTTAATTCTACAATTCTAATTCATATATGTGTCATAATTACGCCTTTTCTATAGATTTTATTGGTTTTACAATTTGTACTTTTTACACCATAAGGTAAAATAATGACATGTATAAAACATACTCCTTTAGTATATTTCTCATCCTAATGGAACAGCTGAAGACAATTTTATTGGTAATTCTGTACGCTGCACTGTAGAGGTTGTGTTTTGTTTACAATTGGTTTCTTGTTATTTCAGTCATTTAAAACCATGTTTAACCAAATAATATGATCAAATCTTAACAATATATAACTCATCCCCTAGTTATATAACCAAACAGTAAGGCACAAATCATGATTTCTAAAATAATAGAAACAAAATTTCATCAACACTAGCAATCAGTGTCACTGTACATGAACTGAACATGAAAAGCTTACTTAAAAATGTACAATGGGATGAGAAGTCTATTTTTATTGAATAGTCTGTACTAGTGATGTGTCAAAACCAAATCTCAAAACCATCAAAACTTTGGAAAAGTTTCGGTTTCGAGATTTGATCACCGAGTTTCGAGATTCAAAAGTTTCGAAATAGGCAGTTTTGGCACTTATATTTTTGAAAATTATTACATTTTTTGTGTCATTATTATTAACATTGTTTACACCCAAGCTAGTAGCAATCGAGCAAACACATCTCCATTAACACTAACGAAACAAGTAAATTGTATTCTGAACTGCAAAAGGCATCTTAAATACTGGAACAGCATAGAATTCAGTTTCATATCAATATTCGATATTTATTAAACACAAAGAAATATTGACCACTAAATGTTCTAATTCATGTAATATTTATGTTTATTTCAATGTCAAGAGTTGCATTTATTTTAATGTTAGTTGTTTATAAAAAATATGTTATTTGGGTTTGAAGTTTATCTGTCACATCAGGAGTCAATCTCTTTCAGTTTTGATTGCATAATCATAATGAAAATGTAATCATTACTTGTATTTTTATTTTTTAGCAACCTTGACCAGGTAACTAAAAAGTTTCGCGTTAAAGTTTTGAAATTCGAGATTCGGGATTCGATTATTTAAGTTTCGGTTTTGGTTTCGAGATTCAAAATTTCTGGTTTTGACCATCACTAGTCTGTACTGTACCATTATTTTATTAAACATGTTTCATAGCAAAAATAAAAGTTCGATCCATAACCAACGTTCTGTCAAAGCAAGGATTAGTTTTTATTTCAAATCTGTCGATGCTGTTTTAGATCAGCGAGTCTGAGTGTGCAGGAAATGGAGAAGATGTTGCTTCTAAACTTTATGAGCCTCGTCCCCTGGGTCATATGGATCTTGATATCTACAGGTAAGTCTGCATACAGATTAGAGTAAAGGTAAAAGTGTGTTACGCAGCAAAAGTGTGTTGTGCAGCACAAGTTACACTAAAAATGTAAAATTTGTCAATACTACCTGTGGCTGAAAAATTAACAATAAAGTAGCACTTCTTGATGTTTTGTTTAGAACAAGGTTCTTGATTGGGGAAGGAATTAATGTGCTGCCTGTAGCACCCTCTGTCGGCAATTCATTTTACCGAATTTGTAGGCTTTTACTCTAATTGTTATATAAAGAAAACCTTAGATAACAAATTAATAAATCTTTCATCATTTTGTTCACAGTAAAATTGTCTACAAACAAGTTTTAATTGGACGGTCAAAGTGTAAAAAAAATTATAAAAATACAAATTTTAAAAACAATTTTTTTAAAGTAAACTTGATTTAAAAACTCCAAGATTCCAAATTACACTACTAATATAAAGTTCAATTGATTCCCTACGTAGAAAAATCACAAGTTGTGTACTTTTATAAGTAATAAAATAGAAACAAATTTTTTTTTTATTTTACCGCAGCTGATTTTTTGTGATATCTGGTTTCCATGGCAACACGACGTTGTTTGTTATTCTTAAAAATAAATTAGTAAATACGCAAATCAAGAAGCAAGATATTTATAAACATAGTAAAAGTAAGAAGAAACAAAAAGGGGGAAAAATAATAATAAATAGATAACTAGTGGCGCTGCGTATAGCGGTGACACAAGCGGCACTCGTAAGTCGGCCGCCGGGCCTGCAGCGGCCGTACCAGTAACGCTCGTAAGTCGGCGCCAATGGGTTAATCTACTTTTTCTAACTAACGCTTGAACTCTACTCTTAGCAGCAAGGTCTACGGTGCAAAGCCCTAAGGGTGAACTAGATTGAAGATAACATTTTTTGAAAAAGTTTTAACTTTAATATATGCGGCCCTCCAGTTTTAAGATGACTTCTTGTTGTAAACTGTATACTTAGAGTGCATAATCATCTAATGAGGTTATCACATCAAAATTACATCTTACATTTTAATAATCCGGTAACAAAACTGAATATTGTCATTTTTGAACCCAATTGAGAGCAATACTCACTATGACAACCATCTTTAGAAATACATTATGTAAATATTTTATTTTTAAATAGCTTATAGATTACATTTTTACAATGCAAAAATACCAGCATGCTTATCCTTATATATAATACGTGAAGGCGATGTCTACGAAACACTCCTCCTCCGTTAATAATGGACGGATTTTTACAAACGATGTGTCAAAATTAATTACTTTTTGTATAGACGCCCCCTTTCACCAATTCCTGTAAAAAAAGTCCTCGGTCTTAGCCACACAGGCCATCAAAATCCCAATGTGTATCTTATGAACAAAATATTTTGTTTACTTAAACAGAAGAATGTTTTTTGTATATTAATTACAGCTGTTCATAGTAAACATGTGATACACACAAGGGAGTTCGTTTTCAGAGTGAGTTCGTTTTCAGTTTCGATAACTGGAGTGGAGCGATTGATTAAATTACCTTTGAGTTGACTCTTATAAGTCATAAAAAATTATGACTTATTAGTTTTAAAATAACGCCTATAATACTTTGTAATTGCTCGAATTCGAGCACCGTTGCACTAGTTTTACAGTGAATAAGTGAGTAAGGGATCGAGTGTTGAATCAATGTGATGACAGCTTTGTTACTTACCAAGATCAGCTGGTAAGACCAATGATCAAGGACAGCTGAGTTTAGGTTAAAACCATCAAAAAGGCTTCTAACTTTTCTCTAAAAATGTATTCAGAACAATAATTTTACTTATGGTTAATCTTTGATCTCAGGTCATGTCGCAAGTTGTCAGTGTTGCCGGAGGAAGAGGTGGTGCCAGATGAGTTTTCCCCACCGTCAGCTGGTTGCCGCCTCGCTGCCTCCCCCCACTACCCTCACCAGGCTCACTCATTCGAGTCCTACCTCCTCCCCGTGTCCAGCCCTAGTGTGCGCCGCCAGCTGTCCGACCCCACCCCTAGCCCAGACATCCACCCTGCGTCTCGCCGCAGTAGTCGCTCAACCAGCCGACCGCTTCAACTGCAGCCTGAAATTTTCCGATTTCCAGACATCAAACCTGAAAGTCCATCCAAAGAAGCGGCTCCTAAAAGCCCACCTTGTGTCAAGTTTCAAAATCCTTTGGAGAACATCAAAGAGGATTTCCCAAGAATCACCTCTCCCACTTACAACATTCTCCAGGATACTGTGTCTCATCTCATCACTATGTCAAATGAATACCTAGACACACAGCCAGAAGATGTTAGTGGGAACAAGAAGGATTCCTTGACTATTCCTGGATATTATACATTCACCCCGGATGGCTCAACACCCTACAAAACTCCTCCTGACAATTCTGTTTTGAGTACTCCAGGATTTTTCACGCCTCAAGAAACTTCAGAGAGAAGACCCTCTGATTCAATAGCGTCTTCGTGTTTCCACACCCCCGCTAGTGCGTCCCCTGTAACAAACCCTACTGAATCCAGCAAGTCAACTTCCAGCAATGGAAACTCAGCACATTACAAAACCCCTCCAGACGTCAGCCAAGGGACTTCTTACCAATCCTCCTACAGCAGTCCACTTTACATGTCTCCTCTCGCTGCTAAACGAGCCATATCAAAGCAAAACAACGAAAACAACTTTACAGAGGTGCCGGATTTGAAAAATATACGCACAAGTACACTCTACGTTAAGCCTTTGCCAGGTGATTTCGATCCGAATCGCACAATGCTGTCCATTTTGTTAGACGAACCAAGGGTCCAAAAAGACAATACAAATTCTGAAGCAGAGGAAATTGCGATGCCTTTTATCTCTTTCACTTCTCTTGACATCCAGTTCCCCTCCCCTGAAGTGCCTTCGTCATGTGTAAGCCCAACGGATACCTCGCTCAGCCCGACGTCAGAAGGTCTCGCTCGCACACCCTCGCGCAGGAGGCTGCAACGTTCCTTGGTCAGGATCAGCTCAGAAACTCCACTGGAACTTGTCCCTGTTGAAGCAAGGTAAGTTAATCTGCAAACCTTAAATATAATTTTTTTTATGTTCTCTTGGTAATTCAAGCACATAATATATCAAATATCAATTACCTTCAATTTACAATTCACTTGTTTTAATGTTATCCTGGTGGAAGAAAGTTGACACTTGATTATGATAATGGGCTTTAATTGTCATGGTGGCCGAGTGGTAATAGCACTCACCTTCAAATCTGAAAGTCTCTGTTTTGGTTAAATAATATATCGTAACTGGACACAAATGCAATTTGTAAATGGACTGACAATTAACAATCCTATCTAACAAAAGTGATGTTAGATATGGTATAGGTTTTGGACTGTCCTCTTACAAAAAACATAAAAAATGCAACAAACACTCACAAAATAGAACTTAAAAACTGAAAATTGGTGGTTGACGCTTTTGGCAAAAGAAATCTTACCACAGAGCAAGATCTATACTTTGCAGAATCGTCAATTTTCCTTAACTTTGTTTTTGGCTAATAATAAAAGACTATCACATGGATTCGAAACCAATTATAATATTACTGGATGAAGTAGAGCCGTGTTTACACAGGCCAGTAGAGCAGGCAGGTCACTTGCCTCTAATGTATTTCAAGTTACCTGAGGGAAGTATCCTGCCCACCAACTGGCTTCGTGTAAACGCGGCTTAAAGTACAGCTTTTTACACGCTCCCTTGGATGCACAGGGGAGCTCAGTGGATACTTTAATGGATGGACAGCCATTCTAGATAAATTTATTTGACATATTATTAATCTATTATATTTTGTAACCTATACTGTTTTCCAACTCCCATACTGATTTGGTGAAAATATGCTTTCACTTTTAAATGCAATTTTTGAGGGTCTTGGGCTGCAATGTTATCATTTTTCTTGCTATTTGTGCTTTGGCGGATCTATATATTCCCAGCTGCTGTAAGCTTTGTTACAATAGTGGCAACACTGCATATTGTATTGTGCGCTTAAGTCACATTCTGAGACAAAAATAACCTTCATTAAACTTGAACAGTTTTAAGCCAAGCTAAAGAAAACCTTACTTCTCAGTATCATGTTTGAAAGTACTCATTAACAAGTCAAAATAAAAAATATATTAACAAAACACACACCTATACTTTCTAAAAAGAATAGCCATGTATAGTGTAACAAATATAAGACATACATGGACTAACAACGTGCTGACAATGGTATGGAGATATATGATAGGTCATGTAGCGCATTAACATACAATGTAGCAATTAGTTGTGGCGGCTCACTGGAAAGGCACACTCACATACACAAACACACATACAGGACACGTGTTGCTGATTTTGAAATACAAGAAATTCCAAAATGACTTTGAAGTATAACTTTTTTAGAAGTTCAAGTTTTAATTTTTAATACCGGTATGTGGTTTTGTTATGTTTGTAATTGAAAATCACAGTTACAATGAAAAAAATGTCTATCAAACCGTAGGAGTAGTATTGTAGGTACTTTGTTAGTATTTTTTTTTACTCTGACAGAGACCTGCTTTAAGTTTTAACCTGCATATGAGCATAGACAAATAAAAAAATATATATACTGTGAAAGCAAGGTTCTGCGATGTGCCACTAGAGCATGCTTGGTGTTCGATTCGTTGCCGTCTTCGGCTCCTCTCCGTATGCTACCAGCAGACGCTGCAGAGTGTGCGCTGCAAATATACGGCGCTCCTAGCGGTTGATGCCAGAACATATGCTAACCGTAGCACTGATGTCGATATCTATTTATTCTATTTGTATATAATATGAGTAAAGAAATATAATACAGGATGCAACATGTAGCTTTTTATGGTTTAAAATCAGCTCATCAGTAATCTTACACATACTTTTTCCCATTAGCTTGTCAACAACCCTTATAAAGCGAGGGGAAATTATTGTACATTTCATACGTTTTTATCAATTTGAACTGTGAATTCCATTTCATTCAGAGGTAGTGTAAAACTTGACCTGAAAGAGTGTAGATGGAACAGTTAACTGTGATCGTGTTGTCAACTTAATACAACATAGCAGCATTCCAGTTCAGTGGTTGCATTAGCGTTTATTGTCCTCAAAAACATTCTTCGCTTATCCCTATACTTAAATTTCAGTACAGTTGTATTCCACACTTATAAGAATATTCATTGGTTTAAAAATCAATCATTTATAGTGTTATAAGATATTTACTGTTCTAAAATAGAATTAGAAATGTGGGTGCAATAAACCAAACAATAATGACAAACCAACATGAACAGTTGCAAGAAATATTGTAAGCTTATATGTTAAAGTGGGTGTGCTAAGAGAAGATTAAAATGTGTTTTTCCTAACAAATTAGAGATCTGCAAAACACCAAATATTGAACAGCTCCGGTACTAACTACAAACTTTTGAGCAACCTGTTTTAAGAATATACAGAATGTTCCAATAGACAAGAAGAGGTGTTTTTTTTTTACACAAGCATAATAAATAAGTATACAAAATAGGGACCTGCAAGGAATTATTTAATAGACAACACTGATACAAACGTTTATAAGACATGATGTGAGAATGTAGGGCAGGGTGTTCCAAAAGACAGGCCACAAGAGAAATGGCACAGGACACCTGGAGCTATATGTCTTTGTCAGCAGTGAACTGGTTTTGGTTGCACAGGACCTTTCCAGATTTACTCAGATTATTCGGTTGCGTGGTTTTGTGTAATTGGGAAATCTGACATTGGAAAGGAAACATAAAATCCTCAATGGCAGCTTCGATAAATTCTCCCTAATATGCAACAGGATGGAAAATATTTGATACTTTATTTAACTAACTAAAAAATCAAAGGTTTGTGATTGGCATTGAATAACATTCGCTATAGTTTGTTTATACCACAAACGAGTTAGAAGAGAGACTTTATTTACGAGTGTGTGGCTTTCTATGGCTGTTTTATCTTTTTGATCCCTGGTACCTGGTACGAATGTTACACATAAAATATGATTCATTTGTCAGGCAGCATCCACCAAGGTCTAGGTTGCGGCATTATCACTTGGATAAAATCCATTGTTGATTGGTGTGATTTGATCTCAGTACCTCTGGGACCGAAGTCCTGCGATCTACTACTAGCTCAGTGTGTATATTGTGCTGAATATTAATGAGATGAGAGTAGAATGGAGTGAGATGTTCTGTTTAGCTTTACTAAATAAGTTCAGCTGTCTCCAATTACAAAAAAACACAATAATGAGCTAGGCCCTGTTTCAAACCACTAGACTTCTGACATTTCACAGGTTTGAGCGGTGATCAAATTAAACATTTTAAAAATAAAAACCCTGAATCATTCATAAACAAATCCTCCCTTACATAAATTCTTGTTCCCACCAATCAGTTTGACTTGTTTTATACCTGATGTCAATAAATACCGGTGAAATTCGAACAGAATATATTTCACCTCAGTTTGATCCACTTATCATAAATTTGCATCACATCAAGTGCAAATTTGAATATAATAATACCTCAAGGCATGGGATTTGCAAATTAAATTAGCAATGAATTGTCACACAAGGTGGCGCCTGCATTGGTCTTATGTGATCGTTGCGCCTGCATGAGTAGGTGTGATTATAGACTTTTAATGACTGCTTCAACAAACATACTTAGTTTAGTTGGGGAGAAAGTTGAGTCTGTGTCTTGCAACAACAATAAATATATATTGGAATTCATCGTAAATTTGGATAACATTAATAGGTTATTATGGTTCTAGCATGATTTTTTATAGAATTACCTGCTTACTGTATTAAAAAAAAAAACATTTACACACGTGCAGTTACTATCGCCAATGACTACAGAACCTTATTATTTTGGCATCGTTGGAGACCTTAATTTTTGGACAACTCTCACATTTTCACACACACACGTTAGTAAAGGTTTTGATGTATTACTTATTTCGTCACGCATCTTTAAGGCTTAAATGGATCCCTCTCTTAAGTAACCTTTTACACACTTTAACAAGGTTTTCGTAACTGTTGTTATGTAGTAAACAAACAATTTTTGTGACAGTATCTTTTAATTAAGTTTTGGAATTTACAGGAAAACTATCTTAGTTACATTTTTTAATCGTGAATGAAAAATGAACACCCAAATATTTGGCCCACATGATCAATTTCTGGTTATGAAAGACATTAAAGGAGGATTATTAATATTTTAAACATTAAATACCGGATATTTAAAAGAATACCGTATGTAATTGCGACACAGTGCAAAATATACTAATCTTTTTAAGTACTTACTGGTGCTCCAGATAAATTAGTTCGCAAAGTCTACTGTCATTAATCTTTCAAAGAAATCTTCCCCAATCAGTCAACTTTGATAGATGAAGCTAGGAAGCATGTATTTTCAGAAACAGACAATTCTCTAATATATGTTTTTGTCACTTGAAAAGTGAAAATATTATAATCCATTATAATTTAACAGTTATGATTTGTTAAGGTGGATTTGTTTTTTAAACAATATTAAGACTGGATAGTTATGTATATAAAATCGTTTGAAATAGGTGTTAGCTTGATTATTTTAGCAATGTTATTTATTTTGGGGCTCATAGTACTTTAATACTTTTCAATGAAATTGCGACCATACAAAGTAGGTATTTTAAGCCTAGTAATGGAGATGATGAGTGTAGGATGAGTGGCGTGATCTTGTAGTCATGTTAGTGACTAAGGCCGACTTATTCCTTAGACACAGTTGTTAATTAATAGGCCATACAGCTTAATGGTAACTAAGGGACCTACAGTTTATAGTGGAATCCGAACCACATTTTTGCCTTGGTATATATACGAATTGGTCTAATTTTCATGATAATACTGCGGATAGTTGTAGTACTCACTCGTGCGGACGTTAATCCACACCAGGGAGTATCGCATCCACAGTGCATGCCTATAAATATCCACAATTCGTAACTTTTCTATTGCAATTAGTAATCCTCTTTTGACAGCCTTTATACTCTAACAACATTTTAATACTGCATATGTATTAAAAGGGCT